GGCAAGAACTGCCTTCGATGCGGGGAGGTGGGTCACATTCGTAGGGACTGTAAAGTTGAGACCTATTTCCTCTGTAAGGAGAAAGGCCTCAATGATAAAAACGCTAAACATATAGCTGGGTCTGGGCAGTGCAGTGCATTTAAAGGCGCACTACAACAAGCGAAAGCCCAACCACGAAGATAAGGATCCTCCAGTGCAATGTAGATCGATCCAGGACGGCTGACGCGCTTCTCAGTCAGCTTGCCCTCGAACACGGTGTTGACGCGCTCTTGGTCAGCGAACAGTACCAGTACCGGGACAGGGACCCATCTCTTTGGTTTCCCGATACACTTGGTACTGCTGCGTTCTGGGTTCGTAATACAGCTAAAGTGCAGGTAAGGAGTCACGCGAAGGGCCGAGGATTCGTTTGGGTCCGGTGCGGGGATGTCACTTACTTTAGTGTATACCTCACCCCCAACGAGGCTATCCGTGACTTTCGTGGAAAGATAGACCGCCTGGAAGAGAGCGTGCGCGATACCGCCGGGCACGTTGTCGTGGCGGGGGATTTCAATGCTAGGGCTGTCGAGTGGGGAATGACTCTCACTAATTCCCGGGGGAAGTACATCCTGGACTTTGCTGCCAGGGCTGGACTTGTTGTCATAAACGAGGGCAACACGCCAACTTTCCAGCGTCCCGGAATGAGGGGAACGATCCCAGACATCACGCTTGCATCTGAGTCCCTCTTGCCGAGGATACGAGCCTGGAGAGTCCTAGATGATTATACGGCCAGTGACCACCAGTACATCATTTTTGATGTCATGGATAGTCATCAGAGACAAGCTACCGTGTCTCGGCAGGTGCCCGTTCGGTGGAACACCAAAAAGCTGGACGTGGCCAAATTCACCGAAGTCATACTACGGGGAGAGCCAGTGGTACCTGCTGCATCTGGCGTGGCTCACGCAGAGACATCAGTTACATCATTGATGAGGCTGATGGTCTCGGCCTGCGAAGAGTCAATGCCTCGCAGGAGATCCCGGTGCGATAAGCGACCTGTGTACTGGTGGACAACCGAGATCGCAGAACTACGACGGGCAGCATTGAGAGCCAGACGTCTTGCTACCAGGGCCAGAGAACCTGAAGATAGACGTCTTAAGTCTGACGCTTACAAGGTGGCTAGGAAGTCTCTTCGCCGGGCCATTAACCGGAGCAAACGCAGTTGCTGGGAGAAATTAAGGGACGATGTCGATTCCGATCCGTGGGGCCTTGGTTACAAGATAGTAACCAAGAAGCTTGGCACCCGCTCTCCACCTTCCGTTATGGACGGGGCCTCTATGGAGAGGATCGTAAAATCCCTTTTCCCGACTCACACACTGCGCCCATTGCGGGAGTTCGGAAGGGTGGACGACGTACCGCTTTTCAGTCTCGAGGAGTTGGAGGCGGCCGTTCTGTCCCTGAAGAACAACAAGGCTCCTGGACCGGATGGGGTACCTGGTGAGGCCCTGAAGAAAGTCTTTTCAATAAACCCACAAATCCTTTTGAGCACGTACAATGCCTGTCTGGCCGAGGGGAAGTTTCCCTTCTGCTGGAAAACAGCTAGGCTTGTGCTCGTGGGGAAGGGAAAAGGAAACCCAGACCTACCCTCCTCTTACAGACCTCTCTGTATGTTGGACACTGCTGGGAAAGTCTTGGAAAAGTTGATCCGTTCCCGACTGAATTCAGCCGTGGTTGCTGCAGGGAATCTATCCCCTCGTCAGTACGGTTTCAGGAAGGGACGGTCAACGGTTGACGCTATTGAGGAGGTAAAGCCAGCCGTAATGAGAGCTGAGGATTTTAACAACTATTCTCGTCGGGTTGTGCTGCTTGTAACACTTGATGTGCGAAACGCATTTAATTCCGTGAGGTGGTGCGATATGCTTGACGCACTGGAGAACACTTTCCACGTCCCGGCATACCTCATGCGCATGATAGAGGACTACCTCCGGTACCGCCTCATCATTTACGACACTACAGAAGGCTCCAGGACGATGGATGTAACTTCTGGTGCTGCTCAAGGATCCATACTGGGCCCGGACCTCTGGAACGTCGCCTACGACAGCCTCTTGAGATCCGAGATGCCTGAGGAAACTGTCCTAGTTGGGTATGCAGATGACGTTGCGGCTTTAATAGCTGCACGTAGCATTGAGCTTGCCCAGCTGAAACTAAATCGAGTCATGCGAACCATTAACGCATGGATGGCAGAACATGGTCTCTCGCTCGCTCTGAGCAAAACTGAGATTGTCATTCTGACTAAAAAGAGGATTGACACCATCGTGCCTTTGATGGTGGGGAACGTTGAAGTCCAAACCACTCGTGCCGCAAAGTACCTTGGGGTCATGGTGGACAGCAAGCTCACCTGGCGAGACCAGATCACCCGTACGGCGGACAAGGCCGCTAAAATGGTTTCTTCCCTTAGTCGGTTAATGGCCAATGTCGGAGGTCCACGGTCCAGCCGCAGAAGGCTGTTGATGTCTGCGGTCCAGTCAGTGCTCCTGTACGGTGCGGAGGTCTGGGCAGACGCTCTCAATAAGGAGGAATATAGGATGCGGCTCGCCCGAGTGCAGCGTCAGGCAGCACTAAGGGTAGCATCTGCCTATCGAACAGTGTCCGAACCCGCCGTCCTGGTGGTTGCTGGAGTCATCCCCGTCAAACTTTTGGCGGCGGAGAGGAAGGCAATTTATCAGCGCCGTGGGGAGGACCAGGCAATTATTGAGGAACGCACCCGGACCTTCCAGCTGTGGCAGGAGAGCTGGGAACAGGAGACAAGGGGGCTCTGGACCAGGCGACTGATACAACAGGTCCAACCTTGGGTTAATCGGCGGTGCGGAGAGGTGAACTTCTACCTCACCCAATTTCTGACGGGTCACGGCTTTTTCGGGTCGTACTTGTTCAGGATGGGCAAAGCCGTGTCACCCGATTGCATATACTGCCCAGGCATTCCCGATGACGTGGAACACACTTTCTTCCACTGCCAGCATTGGGAAAGGCCCCGCCTAGAGACTCAACAGTTCGTAGGACTGCTGTCGGTGGACACGGTCATACCGATGATGATGGAGGGTGAGGACAATTGGACCTGTGTGTCACTTTACATCCAGGGTGTTCTCCGCGCCAAGAAGCTTGACCTCGACCGGGATGCGGTGTAGGTCAAAAAATAAATAATGCCAGAAACGGTGCGAGCCCTGTGGGCTTAGGTCACATGTTGGCCTGACTTGAAGTAATGTGACAAACAATTCCAGGTCTGTGTCCAACAGAGTAGAGGGGGTTTTTTAGTGAGTAGTCTGATAAACTCAGGAGTCTCACACTACAGGCTGGCTACCTGTGTGCGTAAAAGCATTTTCCCTCCTCACCCTAAAAAAAAAAAAAAAAAAAAAAATTCAAAAAATAGAGGGAAAAAGTACAAGAAAAGTCACCTCACTTGTCTGAAAAAATATCGAATATATTGAATTATTAGACCAACCGAATGATGAAACTGTTGACCGTTCTTCCCAAAATGTCACAATGATGAAAAATACTATTCCAAGAAAATCCTTAAGTAAAAAGATCAAATCAGAAACAAAAAGGGAAAAAAGAAAATTGAAATGGAAGAAAACATTACTATTAATTTTATTCAGACAGTCAGGGCAGAGAGGTTGCCCTAATGATACATGAAAATAGTTTGGGTAGTGTCAAAGTTAATGCATTTGTGTTTCCAAATGCAATATCTCAGAAAGTAATGGATCATGCACAGAATGAAAAAGATAGGACATGCATTGTAATGGCAGGGACAAACGATGTGCTTAGAAATAACAGCATTTATATTTATAACAATCTGCAAGATGACTTGAAAAGTTTAAGTAAAGAAAACACGGTATTATTGACCACAGTACCTCTTAGATATGACACTCCCAATAATCACAGCCAAATAGAAGAAATGGTATTTGTTTACTTTAGGGGCTTCTAACGAATTTAGAAAAAAATGTTTTTTTCTCATTATTTGGCCTATTTTGAACACTTTTTACATTTGGCACTTTTGGGGCAAACGCCTATTTCACCCTGAAAATCGCGTTTGAAAATTGCAAAAAGTGCTAAAAATTTGCGTAGTTTTTTTTACTCTTAAAGTGTCTTTACTATTACTAAGGACCTACAGAACTAAATATAATCCAGCCTAATTTTATCTAACCTAACCTAACCTTATCTAACCTTACCTAACCTAACCTAACCTAACCTAACCTAACTTAACCTAACCTAACCTAACCCAACCCTACCTAACCAATGCTTAGGTTAGCAATATGCCGAAAATAGCGGATTATTAGTTAAACCAAGGTTATGTTACGTTAGGTTAGGTTAGGTTAAGTTAGGTTAGTTTAAATAATCATCTGCTTATTACTATAATAATAACAACTAAAAAAATATACTAAAAAAATAAACCTATGGCTAGTTATTAAGTTATTATTTAAATTAATTAGCCTAAAATAACCTGAATATTTTAAATATTACCTAACCTAACCTAACTTAACCGTACGTAAACTAACCTAACTATATTTAAACTAACCTAACCCAACCTAACTTAACCTAACCTAACCCAATCCTACCTAACCTAACCCAACCCTACCTAGAACCAATGCTTAGGTTAGCAATATGCTGAAAATAGCGGATACCTAACCAAGGTTAGGTTAGGTTAGGTTAGGTTAGGTTAGTTTAAATAATCATCTGCTTATTACTATAATAATAAAAACACTTTTAAAAAAGGCAAGGGGGGAAAACCTGATTTTCTAAGTAAAAATGGCAATTGCTGAAAAATTTTTGCGATTTTCAAACGCGATTTTCAGGGTGAAATAGGCGTTTGCCCCAAAAGTGTCAAATGTAAAAAGTGTTCAAAATAGGCCAAATAATGAGAAAAAAACATTTTTTTTTTAATTTGTTAGAAGCCCCTAAAGTAAACAAATACCGAAGAAATAACTATCCTAAACAACTATATACTGGAACTAGTAGCGAGAATTGACAATGTCCACCTCTTAGATCTAAGTAGCTTGAAGAGATATCACTATACGAGGCAGGGTTTACACCTTAACTATAAAGGAAAGAGAAAATTGTCTTTTATGATATTACATACGTTAAAATGCATGGAAAATAAACCTGTTAATACACAAAGCAATGTTGAACAGAGTAACGAAAAATGTAACATAACAGTTGCAGAAAGGGACATGAACGAATTTATACTGAAGCATCAATGTAATGGGGATACTGCATTCTCACATTGCATATCAGCTGATAAACATATGGGGGCAGGGGTAGCAGTAATTTTTAAACAAAACTTTGGGAAACCTGCCCCTACAGACATCCTCCAAGACAGTTTAGCATATCAACAGGTGAGTGGAGGAGCAGGAGTGTACAGCCTCATTACCAAACCGATATACTATTCTAAGCCAACAATCACGGACTACAATCATGCCTTTGAACAGCTAACCAAAGACTTCCAAAAGAAGAAATTTAAAAGACTCATTTGTTCACCAATGGGGTGTATGCGTGATCGAATATCCCCCAAACACTTTATATCAAACATACGTAAGTTTCAACAGTCTACTAAAGCTTTGGTTACAATAGTTTTATCTAATGAGAAATCCCATCATAATCTTAGAAGAGGATTGACTCATGAGCAGCTGTTAAAGGAACTCCAGCACAATATTTCTATCTCACAAGACAATTCATCTATCCTGTCTGCACAACTAGCAGCGAACCCTGCAAAACCAACAGAAACCCCTGCACAACCAACGACAGACCCGGCACAAGTAACAGAAAACTCTGCAAAACCAACAGAAACCCCTGCACAACCAACGACAGACCCTGCACAAGCAACAGAAACCCTTACACAACCAATGACAGACCCTGCACAACCAACAGAAACCCCTACACAACCAACAACAGACCCTGCACAAGCAACAGAAAACTCTGCACAACCAACGACAGACCCTGCAAAACCAACAGAAACCCCTGCACAACCAACGACAGACCCTGCACAAGCAACAGAAACCCTTACACAACCAAAGACAGACCCTACACAAGCAACAGAAACCCCTACACAACCAACGACAGACCCTGCACAACCAACAGAAACCCCTACACAACCAACGACAGACCCTGCACAAGCAACAGAAAACTCTGCACAACCAACGACAGACCCTGCAAAACCAACAGAAACCCCTGCACAACCAACGACAGACCCTTCACAAGCAACAGAAAACTCTGCACAACCAACGACAGACCCTTCACAAGCAACAGAAAACTCTGCACAACCAACAACAGACCCTGCAAAACCAACAGAAACCCCTACACAACCAACGACAGACCCTGCACAAGCAACAGAAACCCTTACACAACCAACGACAGACCCTGCAAAACCAACAACAGACCCTGCACAACCAACAACAAACTCTGGACAACCAACAACAGACCCTGCACAACCAACAACAAACCTACAGTCTTCTCCATGTCAAGGCTGGCCTACACCTGTAATAGAGGATGCCAAGAAAAATTTAAAGACATCAAGCTGTTAAGTCAAAAAGAGAAGCGACACAACAACCAGCCAAACCTACAACATCCTACAAAATAGTGTCTTGTGTCAGTGTGAGTGATCCTGGGCAATATGGTGGAAAGTGTGATTCCAGCTCTTCAAACAAGATGTTTTAGACAACAAAACTCTAACTGCCATCTCCTGTAATGCTAGTCTAGATACTGTAGTCAAATAATTAGCAATACCTTAAGTATCACACTGAATAATTCTTTTGAACCAACTAACTTTACCTACACTGATCAATGGTACCTAAAGAAATAAACACTACAGTAATAAATCTAAACCTAAAATAAACTCTTAAAAAACAAAGCTAGATGTTGTAGAAATGCAATATCTCATTCTTTTAAAATATTTCACCGAAATGTACATTACTTTAGCTACCGTACTTGTTTGAGTATTCTAAAAATAAACTTGGATGAAATTCAACCACATGTCATAGCATTAAGAGCACAACATGTCTAAAGACGAAATTGTAGGATTAATCATTCAAAATTAAAGTATAAGTTTATTATAACAGAGCTAAATCATTGGGCGGCGGGTTTCTAATATTAATCAACGAAAGAATTAAAAGTAAAATGTAAATACTCCTGCAGTACAAGATACATTACCTATCTTATTATAAAAGAAAAAGTCAATGCTGTATTACTGAAATTAGGCCTACTGTTGAAAAAATTCCTTTGTCATGGTTTGCATTTATAGATAACCTCAACAATGATGCTATTTTGTAAATAATTTTTTGGAACAATTACATATATTTTGTGAAATTTTAATTTGTAAGCATCATAAAATTATCATTGCAGGTGATATAAACATAGATTTAGTAAATAAAAACAAGACCAATTACTCATTTTTGTTTTTTGTTAATATTTAAAAATATTATGACTTAACTTAATAGAATACAAAGTTGATTTTCATACCAGGGTGTTTTCTAGTTCTCAGAATGCAATTTCATATCTAACATTAAGTGTATTTAACTTAAAATGTCTTGTTTAGTGACTGGACCATGATGGTCAATTAAGAATTATTAGATGTTGTATTTTTTCAGGAATATTTTTAACCAGAAAACTCTGTTCACAATTTTTGACTCATGATAATTTAAGAGTATTTAAGGACTGACGCTTTGAAAGTTGGACAAATGTGTATCAAGTCACAATAGAAAACAAATGATGTTTTTATTGAATATTTTCTTATGCTTTTTAAGATACAGTAGCTTTCCAAATGTAATGGTTACAAAAAAAAATATTAATAATAATTAATGGATTACAGATTATATCAGAAATAAAAAAAAAACAGGTATATAGTTGAGCTTGAAATTTTGTACAGGAATTCAAGATCTAAAAACTTTAACCCTTTGCGGTTGAATGACAAATATAGGTTGCCGGGCGCCATTTTCCCGACTGCTCAAATGGTAAACTTTACTCGCCGAAAAATTGTAAAAAGTTTGACCTCAAAGGGTTAATTTTGAATTAAAGAAATTAAAAAAAGATATAAATTTGTACATAAAAGTAATATCTTATCAATAAAAAACATCTTTTTTACAAAAAGATGTTAGTTCTATAAATAAATCACAATTAAGTTGGAATTCAAACACACTCCTGCATAGTCTGGTAACTATAGTAAAATGTAGATTTTTTAAATTTATCAAGGCAGACCTGGTACAATAATTTTGGACCCCAATGTTGGGAATGTCTTTAACATTTTTTATAAATTCTACTCTATCACATTCACACTATCCTAAAGTTAATAGTGACTTGTCTGATCAAGCTAATATTCAAATTCTAAAACAGTTTTAATTTATGTGTTAATGAATTTGAACTTGTAATGGTTTTTAAAAATTAATAATCTATTGAATGGTGAGATACGGGTGAGTATTGTGAAGCAGAGTATTTTCACAATTCTTTAACCATTAGACGGAAAAAGAATTATCTTTAAATGTTACTAAATCTTACTTCATATCCTTTTCCACCAAACAAAGTAGATCAAAATTACAACAAAATTTATTCTTAAATTATTGAAAACTTAGTCAGGTTGATAACAATACATTTCTCTGGCTAATTCCATCATCTAACCTGGAATAAACATGTTGACCATGTTGTCATTTCTTTCCCCTACAACTTAAAGAAGAAAAGAGTACACTAGTTAAACTAACACGGGAAAGCAGAAGTAAAATAGATAACAATTTGACAGAAATATTAAAGCAAAGATCTTTGAATTACAAAAAAAATGTTAAAAAGGCAAAAAGAGATTATTTTGACAGTAAAATAAAAAAATGAAATAATGTAAATAAAACAGTTTGGAATATTATAAATTCGGAAGTGGGAAACAAAATCCATAAAAATAATCAAAATATTAATTTAGTTCATAATGGAAAACATTACTGTAACCCAACAGATGTATCAAATATATTTAATGATTTCTTTGTAAATGTGGTAAAAAATAACATTGATTTATCTCAAATAAACAATTGTACAGATAGTAATGATGTAATATTAGATTCTGCCAAATGGGAAATGAAACCAATGTTTAGATTAAGAGAGGTGGGAGTATTAGAAATAGAAGAAATTATCAGTTCCCTTAAAAATAAGAGTTCGAGTGGGTATGATGAAATCCCTATATTTTTGTTAAAATCCATTAAAAATGAAATCAGCTATATTTTAAGTCATCTCATAAACTCATCATTCGTCTCAGGAGTCTTCCCGGATAAATTAAAAATTGCAAAAATTATCCCATTACATAAAAAAAAATGATGTTAAAAATCCGTCAAATTATCGCCCATTATCCTTGTTACCAACATTTTCTAAAATTTATGAAAAAGCAGTCTACATTCAATTAACAGAATTTCTAGTTAAGAACCACTTAATAGATGACATTCAGCATGGTTTCTGCTGTGGAAAATCGGTAATTACTGCAAGTATTGCTTTCATAGAATCGATAATTGACTCAATTGATGCTGGAGACCCATGCATTGGTATATTCATGGATCTGTCAAAGGCATTTGATAGTGTAAATCATACATTACTTATTAGTAAATTAAAATCTCTGGGGATGGTCAAATCTACATTAGATTGGTTTTGTTCATACCTTGAAAATAGATTCCAGTTTGTCCAATTAACTAGTTGTTCTGATAATAGAATTTCAAATCATAAAACACAATTAAAAAAAGTACGATTCGGAGTTCCTCAAGGATCGATTTTAGGGCCCCTTCTTTTCATATGCTACCTAAAAAATATATCAACTTCACTATCAAACGCTGAGAAAAGCAGTATATGTTTATACGCCGATGATACTAACCTAAAAATCTCAGATAAAACAATAGAACAAATTGAAATTTTGTCTTTCCTAGAATTAGAAAATATTGTTCAATTTTTCAAAAATCATAATTTACAGCTAAATGTTGAAAAAACAAATTATATATAATTTAAAACAGCTCAGTCAAAAACCACAGCAGAACCTGTTGTTATGATTGATTCCGAACCTATTGAACAAATTTTTAGCACAAAATTTCTCGGTCTACTAATAGATGGCAACCTAAATTGGAATGAACACGTGGACAAAATCATATCAAAAATTAATTCAGGTTTATGTGCCTTGAGAAAAATGGCAGATTTATGTAGTCAATCAACACTGAAACTAATATACTATTCCTATATACATTCCCATATATCATTTGGCATCTGTCTTTATGGCTCCAGCAAACAAGAAAATCTTGATAAAATTCAAAAATTACAAAAAAAAGCAATTCGGATCATTAAAAATCTTTATCAAGAAGTATCCTGTAGAGAGCATTTCAAAAATCTTCAAATTATTACAGTTTATGGACAGTATATTTTTGATACAATTATGGTTTACAAAACTTTGAATTCAAGCAAGCCATTAATAAACCATCCTACTCACCCATACAATACCAGAAATAAATCGGAAATCATACCCACTCATCACAGATTGCAACTCTACACCAAAAAACCATCATATGCAGGAGCAAAGTTTTTTAGAACTTTACCTAAAGAAATAAAAAAAGAAAATAATGTTAATAAATTTAAAATTAAGTTAAAAAATTATATTACATCAAATCCTATTTATTCAATTGAGGAGTATAACCAGTTGTAAATATGTATTATAAGCCCTGTTAGCTATAAGGAAATGACACTATTCCGCTGAATGACTCATGTACACATTATGAATAAAGATTGTTTTGATTTGATTTGATTTCTTTCTTTCTTTGTTAGGAAAAAGGATGTCGTCTGGGTGCTATGCTTTGCAACAGATGAGCAGAGTTAGCAATTTTATATATTCTAAAAGCCATTTACTTTCCTCTAATAAACTCATTGAAGAAAGAAATCCATTCACAATATGTTTTAAAACTGAGTATACACAAATTCATTTACTTACAGTTCCCTTTTGGAAATCAACTGCCATGCTAAGCAAGAGTGCTCATACGTAAGCTACCTCTGGGTGATGCGTGAATCGATTTAGTGCAAATATAAGCTGCCTTCCGCCATAAACAAAAGGAATTAATACAGTACTTACAAATAGGAAGTCATAGGAGTGAAAGAATATAACATACTTTAATCCAAGGAAGATATGTTAAGGCACTATCTGAAATAGCTGATACCAAAATACTGTTCTCACAAATAGTCCAAGCATATGAGGAAAAAAGATTAAGTTTTCAGGAAAAAATTCCCCAAGTTTTTTTGTGGTTTCTTGTGTATTTTTTGGCGCTGAATCCGATTTTAAACTTTACCACCTCGCCAGAGGTGAGCTTACTTCAGAAATCGTAAAAAAACTTATAAAATACTGTACTTGTTTTACTTTTTTGCGTATAACTCACAAACGGAGTATTTTTTTGCAATAACTGTCATTTACTAAATTAAAGTACACTAAATTCCCTACAATATACGTATAATAACTTTATTTCTACGATGTTCCAAACTGACGCTAGAGCGCGCTCAAAATTCATCATTTTCTTTTACCTATTGGAAAACGTAGGGAACACCATTATAAATCCTTGGATTAGTCACCCAACGAACTCTTTTTGATGAATATTGATTATTTTATAATTAAATGGTATCATTAGGTCATATTTAGTGGTAAATAAATGTAAATGAAGTTTATAGTTGGTTACCATAGCATAAAAAAAATTAGAAAACAATTTTCAATTTAAATACATTCGAAAATTATTATTATAAATCTTAG